GTTTTCAATGGAACTGCTTTGTATTCTTTAGCTCTTAAGCTGGTTCAATGGATTATCCAAACTAGTTTCTCATCGAGGTGTCAAGTGACATTACATTTGACTATTAAGTCAATGCAAAGATGCAAGAGCAGGGCAGAAACAGATGTGAGTTTGCATTGGGATGCGCAAAATCCCCATCATTTAAAAAAAAGAAGCTTATCTTGAGGCTTTCTGACTCCATTTGGCGCATGTATACAGACAAAGGAAAAGACAGGAGGAGAATTTTCTGAAGGGCTTGAGTTTCTGTTGAGTTCTGAAACAAGGATGTTGCTAGCTAACTACAGCTAACATCTTTAAAGTCTGCGAATAACCTTTTAGTTTTTGTCTTGTTTTTAAAATGTGTGCAATCACTGGATTTTATTTGACTTAATTTGAAGGGAGACCATGTTGCTGGGAAGTATTGTTATTGTAGATATTTTACGAGTAATTTCCCATACTTTGAGCACCACAATCAATATTCAATGTTGTGGAGGTGGAGGCAGAAATCTAGTATTTGAATAGCTACTTATCACACATAGTGTTATACACAAAAAATATGTTTTTTTGGAGCTGGCCCTTTTAGCTGCCTTACACATGATACTATATCTTAAATGTGTACACTCATGCTTAAAGTTAAATATGGTATGGAAGAACTTTGGAATATTTGAATATGTAATTTCCATGTCATGTTTAAAGTGGACCTATCATGCTATATTTGAATAATATAGTGTAGGACCATACCTATATAAGGCATATTTATACTTTTTATTTTTCAAAATACCAAACAGATCATGCATTTTAGCCATTCCTCATTTCACTCAATTCAACACTGTCTTTGCATGGGCTGATTCTGTGAGAACAGGACCATCTACAGGCCTGGCATATGTACTACAGCGTCTCCAGCGCTTTCGAACGGCAATGTCCGTGGCTGTCTCCTCCTGATTGGTGGAGTTGGCCCAATAGCCGTAGCGCCACTTCTGTGACGTCACAGAAGTGTTCAAATCTGGATCAGTCGGAATCAGATCCGTTGCAGCCCCTTTTTAAGAGATTTGGGTATGGAGGAAAATAGAGAGGGTTGTGTTTCCTGACACTTGGTGAGTTCCCTGGAACACCGGGGACACATATTCATGATACCTTCTTCACCCACGCTTACTACTTAGTGTGATGAATACGCGATGAAATGCCTAAGAGAGAACCTTTTACTATAGAGCCTGAAATTTCCTCATCGCCAACGTGCTAAATTTTTTTCTGAGAAAACACTAAGGAACTGCCATTACGTTAGTGCGTATAACCACCCCAACCAACAAACAAAATTAGTCTAAGAGTTTTTTTTCGTGTTATTTACTAAAACCACATCGCACCCTTTCGTTGTGTTGTAAAAAAACCTTTGGTCAACTGATAACCATTTATCCGTTCCAACAAACTACTTTCTACTTTCGGCACGTGATTTTAACCGGTTGTTTGTCGGTCGTTAGTTCTGTTACCGGTGTTTCCGTGACGCAAATTTCCCCGATAGTACGGTTTTCGGGTGAAAAACACTGC